GCAGAAAATCTGGGGTTTTAACCTGGGGTGGTGGCTGTAGCTCACTCAGAGCAAGTGCTTTTCTGCTCCTTGTGCAAAACTTGCTTCCAAAGTGGATTAAACTGAACTGCACAAAGGCTCTTTGCTGTGGATTGTGCTGCTCTGTGCAGAGGCTGAAAGGCCAGAGCTCCTTCACTGTGTAGACAAGTACTGCGGGAAGTTGAACTGATTTAGCRGCAGCATTAATGAGCATTATGTCCTGTGTGGAGCCCCGTGCAGCGAGGAGATGATCTTTATGCTATAAATCCCTTTGCAGCATGAGGTCACTTAACTTCTGAATGAAGTTGCCCTCGCAGGGGATTACTCGCTCTGTGTGCATACATGAAACACTCTCTTATCGTTAGGTTTSCCTTCATAGTCTGCCTGTTTTGGAAAACTTTTGTAAGTGTCAGCAAATCCCAGCTCTTTTTGAGATAAGGACCTTCGCAGCGTTCTGGGTAGATATTAGCCTTGGGAAAATGGTCTGATTGGATAGCAGAAATATAAAGAAGAATATATGTTTTCTAACAAAAATCACTTTTGAAAAATGTACTTAATKATTCGTTTAAAGGAAAAGTGCAATAAAGGAAAGAGAAAAAAAAAAAGCTTTTGGGGGTTGGGCAAGGTAAAATAGAATATTTCAGATTTCCACAGTCAGAAGAGAATTTTTGTCATTAGCACAAATTGAAATATGTTAGATTTTTTTTAATATAGATAGCACTAAGAAATATCCGCTAGGGGAGTGATTAGCTGCTTAAATTAGAGAAGCTCAAGTAAATATTCTAGATGGTCTAGAGTTAAAAAAAATGTTTTAAAAATACTGTTTTCCTCTACAATTAGTATGAGAGAATTTACCTTTATGTGCCTTCGTGTATGTTAACAAAGCATTAGGTATTTTTGGTTATACACTTTTATGTGGCRCCCTGTGATTTTTGAAAACTCATCAGATATTCAATATTTGGGGTTTGTTTCCATTGGCAGACTCGGACTTAATCCAAATTGTTTTAAAATAGACGAATAAAATGGCGTTAAACTTGTGTGTAGAGATAAAATTTAGAAATCAGGCGGCTTAAATTAATTGAGTTTACTTGCTAACAAGTGTTAATATATTTAATTAGATAAGGGGCACTTTAATTTTACATCAAATATGTGAGTTCTGAGAGCACTGGCAGATGTATTGGGGCACGATGTGTGCTCTGCTGCAAGTGCTTTATCTTTGCTTGTCTCTGACGAGCTGTTCTGAGTGTACAGACACCAGYGCCCTGGTTGTAGAAATTTTTGGGCTTTTTTTTTCTAATTAATAAAAAGCAAGAATAATGAGAAGTCTTTGTTTTTATTTTACATTCACACAAATAGAGAAATATTTTTAATTTTTGATGGGTGAAGAAATAAGCTGTATTACTTGCTGGAAAATTTGCTTCCAAGTCTGCTCTTCCTTGGTTCCCGCTTGGAACCTCAGGACCACTTTCTTTTGGAACTTTTGGAAGACTATTTTTCCTTCGGGCGCTAAGAAGGCAACTAGCACAGCGTGTTTGCCCTGTGTGATTATTTCCAGTATTCCCTGTCTCTGAACGTTGTCTTTTTGGTAGCATTTYAATACATGCAGCTTTCCAAAAGGACTGGGTTTCTGATGGTGAGGTTTCCTATTAGGGAAGGCCTCCCGGAGCAGGGCTTGGCTCAGCTGGCGACCTGGAGGGCGCTGGAGCTGCTCTGGACTGGGCATCCCAGGTGCTCTGAGCTTGGCAGACTCCCCAGCCCAAGAGATAGGATGTGAACGAGTCTTGAAAGGACACGGAGCTGAATGGGAAGGGAGGTGGGTGGAAATCCCTCTGGTCCAAAGCCACATCTTAATCTGTTTTTCAGTCTCTGGTTTGGATGGGAGTTGAAGGAATCTCATCCAACCTTTTAGAAAAAACCCTCCAGGAGAAGTGATGAGTGCAGCGCAGATCCACTTAGCCAGCGCGGCCGGAGCCAGGCTGAGCTCGGCTGGCCAAAGCCGCCTGTAGTGTGTGTGTTCCTGAGAGATTTTCCGTCGTCTGGGGCATGCTCTCTTCCCAAGCCCCCCTTCCCAGGTAATGGCAAGTTACTGTAAAATACTGCTGTYGATCCAACATCCAGCCGCTGGCTAGGGAACAGGAATGGGCACGTTTCATAGAAGCTGGCTATCCCTGGTGAAGTTTATCCTTGCCTTTATAAATTTCTGTCCATAGTGATTTTTTCCCTCCTTTTTTTTTTTTTTTTTCTTCCCCACATCTCTCCTTTCAGCTTAATATTTGTGCCAGGATTATTCCAGCATTGACATCTTAATGTGTGTGTGTGTATAATTAATTTAGAATTAATGAGGAATAGGTTTTCATCCAGAGGAAAGAAAGGGAAAAATGAAAAAAGCCAAGATCGTATGGCAAATTTCAAAAAAAAAAAAAAAAAGAAATATTCACCGTGAAGAAGTCTTGGTAAATACTTCAAATGCAATATTAGTATAGAAATTATTGCTCTAAATGTGACTGAAACTCTTCAAAGATGATACACTAATGTAATTCTAACTTCAGCCTTGTTACCTTTTATAGGACTTTTACCCACAGTTCGGAAAGCAGAGTTGGGCCACTGCAAGAGTTTTCTGTGACAAAACTCTCAAATTGGAGGAATATTTTATTTAAATTGCAACTGTCATTATACTTGAAGTATCCATTGAACCTCATTTGGTCATATTYCTTAATCCACACGTTCAGCATTGATAGGATATGCATATTTTTTCCCCTTGTTTTGATACAAGAGTTCACAGTGTTTGGTGACAGCAGAAGCCTCTTTTGTTCTGCTTATTGGCAATGGGCTCTGTCCTGGTCTTGGCTAGCGGCCTATGAGCAGCATGCGGCTTACTGAAATGGTTATAAAATTTGTTGAAATGGAAATAAATCCTGAAGTTTTGCAGACCTATGGCGGCGTATGTGTAATAGCTGTTCTGCCGATTGTAGTCTGGCCCTCGCTTAAAGATTCTCCGTGACAGAGTATCTGAGGATTTTTCCTGCTTTATGGCTGAATACCTTCCTGCTGTGACCCAAGACATTTGAGGTGGAGACATAGGTCAGAAGTTGGAAACTATTTTTTTATTTGTGTGGAGAAAACTTAAATACATTTCAATAACCTGTTGTAATAAATGAATTTTGGAAGGCTGTTATGTGAATCAGTCGAAGTATTTAAGTGAGCTTAAATACATTACAAATCCCTTGGAAATGATTTATGAAACAGTGGTGTGTTTGTGGCTATAATTGGTTAAAATGCAATACGCCAAGTACAAGTGGAGCTTCGYGTTGTGTAAATAGACAAAGTTGGAAAGTGAAGTTTTGTTCTAGTTTTTTCCTTTACACTCTTTGGAGTGGAGGACGCTTTCCTTCAAGCGGAGGGCAGGGTTCTCTAACGGCGCGTACAGTATGTGACATTATGAAACAGTAACTCTAGCCCAGCTGTTTTATTATGTTATGCCTGGCCGGCCCCCAGGATTTCTCAGAAATGGCAAATGCAATTTGCCAAACTGGCACCCGCCTGCACTGTCGCGTTGCCAGCTCTCTCGGGCGTGCTGCCACACGCCGTGAAGCCCCAACAGTTTGCACCAGCAGCCCAGTTCCCGGTGACTCGCTGCTGGCAGCGCTGTTATTTGGAATAAACAACTGTGATCCTGAGCGGTGTCTTCCTCCGGGGCGGCTGCGTCGCTGCCCTGCACAACRCGCTGCGTTCCACCTGTCTGCCCTAAGGGCTTCCCTGCCTTCCAGTGGAAAAGGAGGAAAATCTGCATGCGGAGTTGGATCGGACTCGGTGGCAATGCTAAGGCATGAATTACCATTTCCATTGGGAAACCTCAAATGCTCTGATATATATATATWTTTTTTTTGCTTCAGGTTTAGAAAAAAGAAAAACAAATTGATCTTTGCCGTTCGCTGTCTATCCTTCGTTAAACCGTGGGAACGCACAGTGATGAATGGGACCTGTGGTTATGATGAAGTTTCCCAGGCTGAAGGCTTCTCTTAATACACTGCTAAATAACCTTGGTGGAGAATCCCAAAGGAGTAGGGCGGAGAAATATTTGGCTTTAAGATCAGGACCATATTCTGAAAATAGGTTCATCAGAGTTGGGCTGTAGTTTTTTTTTTTTTTTTTTTTTTTTTTAAAAGGCAGGTTCAATAGCCAAGAAAAAATGCTAAGTTTTGCTCCAGATCTGGTCGTAATTAGCTGCAGAAAAGCTCCCTGGACTCGCAGAATGTTTGTGAAGATTTTAGAAGCCTGTTAGAATTCATGCGTGGAAGGTTCTTGTGTTCATAAAGGTCTGCACAGATTGCAGTAATTACAAAGCCAGTGTGGTTTGGGAGCTTCGTACKCTATTGCAATGTCAGGCCTTGGAAGTGTGATCACTTCCAAGAACTAAGTGATTTGTAAATTAAAAGCCTGCAAWTTAGGAATGCTCTTGTATACTTTTAAGTCTTAATCAGTTTAAAGGGTTTTTCTTGTATGTTCGGTTGGTTTTTATGCTGTTGAGGTGCCAAGTGTCTGTGGCTAAAAACTGTCTTTATCCATTGGGAAAATGCAGGGAAGTTGAGCAAGGCAAGTTGCACTCTTGTTTTAGTGCTAATATAGGAATATCACTCGGAGGGTGATACAGGTTGTTCTGTCCGTGCATCTTTAGAGCCCATACCAAATACAGGAGTAAATACCTGATGTTCACATCTGCATGTTATTTCTGCTAGGAACTAGGTTGCAATTTATAACTCTCACAAAGATAACTTCTAGAATCTTGTTTACATGATTGCTYTCGATTGCTACTGATTAATCTCCGCTTTGAATCAGTGGCCAATATATCCAGTGTTGTTCTCTCTGTCGTTACCAGTCCCTCTGAATTGCATCTCCTTTTGTAGAAGAAGAATCAAAAATAAGTGTGATATTGATATATGAAATATACCTTTATTAACATTCTTCTTGATGTTATTTTTCAGGATTGAATGACTTCTAAATTTATTTATTTGGGGGCCTTCGGTGGTGCTTGACTGGATATTGCTGCCTGGTTCTGAATGATGTCAGAACAGGATTTGGCAGATGTTGTTCAGATTGCGGTTGAAGACTTGAACCCAGATGACCCAGGTACAGTAGGGATGAGGACGTAAGGAAGAGCACACATAATTTGACCTGTTAAAATGGGGGAAATCACTGTTACACTTTTCATATAAATATAAATTCATGCAGCAAATATTTTTTCTTACAAGATGGACTCATCCAGGCTGTATACCAAATTTCAGTATTTTTTCTTGTATATCTTCAGTATTCTTTAAATCACTTTTAAAATTTTCTTTAAAGGGCTTTTTTATTTTTTCAGAAGTAGTCCACTTCCAAAAATCCATATTAAAATATGGTCTCTAGCAAGCCTTATTTTGGAACATTGTACAATGAAATGATGATAAAATTGAAAATTGTTTCTGAGGAAAATATCACTTCCCTTTTAAGCATTTGTTTAATTATTTTTGAGCCTTGCCCTCTTTTATTGTAGACTATGACCACACTTATTTTTATTTGCAGTTGTGTTGGCAAATCATGAAGTGACAGATGAAGATGTGGAGCCTGCTCTTAAACGTCAGCGTATAGAAATTAATTGCCAGGATCCATCTATTAAGGTTATGGGAGTTCCTTTTTCTATTTTTATACATGATGCCAATTCAGTCATCTTTATTTGGGAAGAAATWGTAAAAGCAAATAATGCTAAAATGCAAAACAAACACAATATTGGGATTATTTTTACCTTTCTTATAAGCATTTCTGTGATCATTTTGCTGGGTAAACTTTTAAATCCTGATGATTTGATCTTCCAGCAAAATCAATAGATAAACTTGTATATACAATATAAAATTTAGTTCAAAATTAATTCCTGTGACTCAAATGTCACTATTTCCGTATTTTTTTCTTTTGATAAAATGAATGAATTTGACCTGAAAGACCCTGTATTCTTGAAACTGTCACAAAAAGGGAAGTTSTTTATTAGGAGAGGGCTGGAGCAGCAGCACTGTAAAAAGCTCCATGTGTGTAAATTTTTGCTATAGCCAGAAGATGGCATGATTGCTGTTTGTAAAGGAGAATGTGTCCAACATCATGCTTTAATGGTCTGTTATTGTTACATGTCTGCTTTTCTAAAAAAAAAAAAAAAAATAAATAAAAAGAATTACTTAAGAAAACATTTTTTGCTTATTTGCTTTTCTTGATTTGCTGTTCAGAAGAAAACTAAAGTGAGTGTTATTTAATGGATTTAATGTACCTGAAATTATTTGCGTTGATATAATTTCTACTGTAATCATCTGAATTTATCTATTTGGACAYGAAAATATCTTATTTAACTTCATCCAACAGGATGCTTTCATAGACTTAAAATCCTTTTGTTTTAAAATATATCAAATGAAATGTTTTGGTGTGTCAAATTATTTTGTGGTCTGTGAAATCATACTAACAAAGTGCTTAGGTGAAAATGTGTTTRGCTTGGATGCTTTTGGCTTCTAAATAAAGGTCTGGAAGAATCTGAGAATGCTCAAATGCTCCAGAATGTCATCAGTTCTACACACAGATGAATTCTGTTACTGGACACTTTGGTAGTAATYGTTAGTACCTTCAGAATTGTTCTCCAGTTGCATTTATCTGGGRCTCTGCGTTGCTGGAGATAAGTGCAGAAGTCTTTTAAAACAGTTTCTTTTGTGCTCTCCCCTTTCTAGTCGTTCCTGTATTCCATTAACCAGACAATATGCYTGCGACTGGATAGCATCGAGGCCAAGTTGCTGGCCCTCGAGGCGACCTGTAAATCGTTGGAAGAAAAGCTGGACCTTGTCATGAACAAACAGCACAGCCCTATCCAAGTGCCCATGGTGGCAGGTTCTCCTCTCGGCGCTACGCAGACGTGCAATAAAGTACGATGGTAAGAAAAGCAGTTGCTGCTCAGGGTGCTTTTTAAAATAACCCGAGTCTGTTTCTCTGGCATCATGTAGCTCTGCAGCTTTCTGTATCACTGTCAGGAGCTTGGAATGCCCTTTAAGAATGTGGAATTAACTTCTCCTTAAGGTAAGCCCTGTGCCAGTTTCATGACGTTACTTCAAGCTAGGATGAGACTAAACACGTCGTACTAGTGCGTGGACGACTTGCAGTTATTTCCACATCTCTCTTTTGGCTTGAACCAGACTGATTTTCCTTTGAAAAAGTTGCATTAACATTAAGTATTTTAGACTATTTTTTTAGACTTGCTTTACTTTTATTATTGTTTTCTGTAATCTCTCAGCAGAAACATCTTGATTTATTTCTGGATTAGAGGTTGGAGAGGAAAAGATCTATTAAATAATCTAATCCACTTAGTGCACAAGCAGATTTGACCACGAATACCTTCACATATGTGTTGTCTAATATGTCTTTCATTAGCTTAACTCTTGATGTGTCTATCATTTTATCATGGAACTTATACCAGAATTTTCAAGAGATTTTTTTTGTTGTTGAATAACACTTGATACAACTCATATTTTATCAACCTTTTTGTAGATACACTTCGGTAAATAATTCCTTTTTATTCTCCGTAACAACTATGTAATGTTCATGTATAGCCTGCATGTTTCCTACCACACTAGTCAGATGTGCTGACTTAATTCATCTTTTGTCAGCCACTTTCTCCAGCTCCTGATCTTTTTTCATTGCACCCTCTGGCCTTTAATACCTGAATGTTATTCTGAAAATATTTCTGAAATGTTATATGATATGATATATCAGTATGATACTCCCGGTACACTAGAGCTATATAGAAGGAAATGACATCCTTGCTGTATGTAGGAGACATCCTTGTGAAGTAAGAGCATGCAAACAAATTACAGTTGCCTTTTCCTGTAAGGCCACTTGCTTGCTCACTGCCTTGTGTGTTTCCCTTTTAGTACTGTCACTTTTATAACAGGTATTTTAAGATACAGAATGCATCTTAAGTTTATAATTGCATTTCAGTTCATGCRGTGATGAAAGAGGATGGAACATGATCTTACTACCATTAAAAAATGAAAGTTGAAGATTTTACAGTAAGAAGGAGCCAAAGGGCTCGTGTAGATGAATCTTGCACAATGCAAACTGTCACCTTATTAATGTTCATTGTGATTACTTCTAATAGAGTCTCAGGAGAAGAGGGGAAAACTGATGGATGTGAAACAAGCCTGAGGGTCGTAGCTGTTCTATTTCAGTAAGTTTTTCCCCGGATGGCAGCACTAAACAGGCCTGGTTTCCTACAGGCTTTTGTCCCGTGTTGGGGAATGGAGTATTCATTAACAGTCTCATTTTCTTTGGAAACAAAACAAAGATGTTTATATGATAATTTCTCAATGTTCAGAGAGTGTTACTTAAAAATATGAATTTGACATTATCTACAAAACCATAGCGTTAATATATGTTTTTTTTTCCTTCTTTGATTTGAAGGAAAGTGTGTCAGTGGGTCTCAAAACTGGTAGGTTGAAAGGAAGGAGAACCTTAATTGGAAAAGAATTGTGTTGAACATCGGAGCTTTAAAATAGCCAAGAACAGTAGCAAAAAAATTAGTAAATTAGGAGTGGGAGTATGTGTATTGTTCCAGTGCTCCGAGTCTTGTCTGACTTGTTCAGCATGATTCCTACTTCTCTGTCCAGGATGTGATTGTCTCTCCCTCTGCCTTCAGCATTTCCTGGCAGTAGGACTATTAAAAAAATCTCTTTTCTTTAYGAAGTTCTGTGCTGGTCAAAGAGTCCAGTAGCTGCTGAAAAGTTTCTTGGATAGCAGTTGTTGGCCTGTCAGTGTGGCAGCCTCTAATGGTAAGTTTGAGATTTAGGATGTGCCTAYGTGATAAAGTGACAAACCTACTGAATGACAGTGCAACTGCAATGRTGTGGTTTCAGCTAACTCCCCCTTGGTTGCTTTTTTTATTCCCCCCGCYTCGACTCGGGATATTTTCTATAACTGTTGAACTGTAAATATTTACTATTTTTTAAAGGGTATTATTTTGGACTTTTTTTTCAGGGACAATTGATATATTTGGAGGAAAACAGCTTTTGAAATGTATCAATTATGTATCAATTTATTTAGAATTGGTATTTTCTTCATACTTAATCATAACAATGTTGCTGAAGAAATGGAAATTAATATATGAGTGGAGCWTCTCTTTTGTTAAGATATTTTTCTTTGAACCTTATGGTAAAGTTGAAATATTGACCTCATACAGATGTCAATGATGTTTTTACCATATGCGTTGTGGCTAGCTGATTGAGTGTGCTGATCATTAAGTATAGAGAGGCAATTCTGGAGAGTTAAATAGAATGGCGAATTAAATGCACTTAACGGTTGCCTAAAGCCCTGGTCTGCCATTCCTGAACGGGACTTACTCATTTTYGTGGCCTGGAGATCAGTTTATTAAAATAGAGCTGCTGCAAATGGTCTTGGTTGCAGTTAGTTGAGTTTCTTGGTAGGTTCCTTCAGCTTGTTTTAGAAAACAGCATTTGTCATTTTGGTTTTAAGACACAAGCTCTTTTATATACAAAATACGGCTTGACACAGCCTTACAGCCAGATGGGATGTACAAATTGCTTTAGTTTTGTCAGTGTAGATTGTTATGTTTTATCATTAACATTAATCAATAGGGTGTGCTGAGTGTTGATCAACAAGGTTTRTTCCTCTGCGCTGTGTGCAGTGAGCCAGTTGGCGAGCTTTTTGGCTGCAGTTTTGTCAAGTTCAAGATGTGCATATCTGGTGTGTGACTGTTTGTTTACAAGTTGTTTTTTGTTCAAGTAATTCCAAACTTAAAAGGGAGATGATTTTAAATGAAGTTGCGAAACTAGAGGAAAAAAAAGGCAAGAGAAGAATTACAGGATAGCTGTTCTGCATTTGGCTAAACTACTGTTGCTTCTGCACAGAGTCGTTTAGAGAGGAGAAAAGTATGAAAACATTTGCAAGAAACCTAATCAAGGTATTGGTATAAAAAAACAAATTATACTTAGAATCCTAAGGAAAAGTAATTACATTCTTTTTGTTCTGTGAATTACAAACCCCTTAACCAACCTATTCTCATCTTATCAGATGTTGAATAGCTTTTTCATTTTTGTTGCACTTTTATCATAAGGACTYTTTATTGATTATAATAAAATATCCTAATATACTAATCCAGGCTTTTAAAAAAGAAATGTAATTCTTGGTTCTTATCACTAAGCAGTGTTTTTTTCGAATCTCTGGGATATATAGTTAACCTCTTTTCCCCATTTACAGCAGTTAATACCATAATTCATTAGGTGATGTGAAACACTTTACAAGTTTAGTCTATTTTTTTTCCTCCTCTTTAACAGTAAATTAACATTATAAACCTTGTGCAATGCTAATATCTCTGAGACAACTAACTGTCTCTTTTTGGAAAAATACCATTTGCAAGTCTGAAAAACCTCAATTTACAGAAAAAAATATTTTTATTATTATTATTACAACTACTTACGTTGCCTGTATTGCAAAAGATGTATGGTATGTGTTTTACAGTACAATTTACTTTCAAGTTGCAGATATGTTACTGGAAGCCTAATTTTATGCACTGAACTTAGGCCTAAAAGATATTACTTTGGAAACAGACTGAGCTCTCAAGAGCCTTCAACAGCAGCTTTGCAAAAGATGTTAAATTAAACCATTTTTTTTAAAGTTATGCATTATGTATTGAAAATACAGTCAGCAAGTTGAGATGATTAACAGAACAATATTATTCTGTAATTAATGGAATGTTATTAAGATTTTATCTGCAAAAGTTTGTGATTCTTCAGGTTTTCAGGAATTCATGTTACTTTTAAGTGACACCACTTTAAAGTGCCACATCCCTGTCACTTTTAAGTTCTTAATCAGTGGTACTATGTGCAAATCCAGTTTGTTTTAACTTGGCAGTTAAGGTGTCATATCTGCAGCTGCCCATTGTTCATAAGGAGTAGGGTTGTTTCAAGAAGATGATCGTGCTTTGAGGATGATTGTGCTACCTCGTGTGAACAGCTCTTAACTCCTGCACGAGCATCCTGTTGATGGCTACACCTGGAAAGGGTTGGAAGGGTTGAAGGAGGGCGGCACAACCCTTTGTGGTTGTGGTCTGTGTTGACCTACTGCATTTCAGGTATGCTCAGAGAACACGATCAACATTAGCAAAATACAAATATCATTGTCATCAATTAGAAGATTTCATAACCTTAGAGGATTTTCCCCCTTTGGGGGCAATTTTTAAAATTGTATTTAGTATCTTTTAAAGTTAAAAGGTAGCTTTCGGTACCTGCAAATATAACCAAAATAATTTTGAAATCTGAAATGTATTTTTCAGTAAAGTAGAATTTTGACCAAGAGAGTCAGATCTTGAATTGTGATTCATAATTACATCAGTTGGTCCAAGCTGCTATTAGATTTCACGTCTTTGGGGGTTTCTGTTTTAAATTCTCTTAACATTCCTTGGTTTAAGCCTCACACTGCAGTTCAGGTGCTAGAAGAGTTTCACTCACATATGTACATGTGTATGTTGTCCCCCACATTGCCATTTGGGCGTATTTATCTGAAAAATATGATTCTTTCTTGCATTAAACTATTCAGATTTTGATGCTGAACTAATCGTAGATTGGAGTTCTATAGTTAGACTTCAACCCCTCTCTCTTGGCATCTTTTTCCAGAGCTGCAGAGTGTTCGTTGCTTTTGGTATGAACAAAATAGTTCTTTCTCTTTGATTCACTGCAAACTACTGTAATGCTTTCCAAAGTCTCCTAATTTGTCACAAGGCCTTGTCAGCCTCAACRTTTTGATGTTGATTCTTCTCCTGGATGGGTTGTAGGAGTACTGATACATACCTTTTCACCTTCCTTGTTTAAACCTGCAGTTCRTATCAGTGTTCATGGTACAAGTTACTATCATACTTTCTGCTTA